TGTGTGTGTGTGTGTGTGTGTGTGTGTGTGTGTGTGTGTGTGTGTGTCTCTCTCTCTCCAGATATTTGAGTGGTGGTATTTCAGGAAATACGGGACCTCCTTCATAGAGCAGGTGTCTGTGAGCCACCTGCGCCCCCTGCTGGGCGGAGTGGACAGCAGCACCCCCAGCAACTCCAACACCAGTAACGGAGAGGCCGATTCCAATCGACAGAGTGTGTCCGGTAAGAAGCCTCGCGGTGGTGAAAGCAGCTTCTGACAGGAACGCCCTGATGTGATCAGTGTGCTCTCTGCAGGCTGCTGTGTGTTGACCAGTGAGTGGAGGCTCAGCCTGCTTCTGTTTACAGACAAACTGGACGACGTGTGCCGGGTTAGATCAACGAGCTCGTGGTTCAGAGAAGAAAGGCGTCTTAATGATTGTGACTCTCTAATCCCTCGTTTTCTGGCTAATAATCTGCTCCGCTGCCATCAGCGTCTTCTGAGACGATTGATTAGTTATACTGTGCGTCTGCTCTGAACTGAACTCTTTCTACTCTTCTTGTATGTTTTAGGCATGACTGGTTAGATTTAAGATCAGTTCATTAATAGATCATTTAAAGTAATTTATTAAAGCACAATATTTGAGGATTTGCTGCTTTCTTCTGTCTTATATTATTGTAAATTGAATGCAGGTGGGACAAAAACAAGCAATATGAAATCGTCGTTGGGGCTCTTCATCAGCATCTTTCACTATTTTATGACATTTCATAGATTAAACAATTCATAATGAGATACCAAGAAAATATGAAAATGACTTGAGAAGATCCGAATTGATGCTGAAGATATTTTGACCGTTAGTTCCAAGTTAAACTCCAACAACTCTGGATCCTACAATTCCCATCATGCACCTGGATTGCCTCAAATCTTTCCTTCACAGTAAACATTCAGGTCTTTAAATCCACCAAATCAATGTGCATCCCTGCTGCTGTAGTTAATTCATTTAGTGGCCGACGCGTCCAAACACCGCACAGCCAACTAGCAAGCTCACGTTACAGTGACGGAGTAACGGAGTCTGTAGCAGCAGGGAGTGAGCAGCGCTCATCGTAATGAACGGACTGAATCAGTGTCAGTCAGTGTCCCTGTCGGTCCAGAGGTGTCGACTTCACCTCCACTCTGCTCTCTCTCTGTCTCCCTCCTGCAGAATGTAAAGTCTGGAGAAATCCACTGAATTTATTTCGCGGAGCCGAATATAACCGGTGAGTGAGAATGTAAATAACTCCTCCGCTGTCTTTTATCTCCTCCCTCCTCTCTCCTTCTCTCTTGTTAGTTTTTCAAAATCATTCCTTCTCTTTTTCACTGCCTTCTTCTTTGTTTTCCTCTTCTGTGTTTGATAAAATATTCTCTGTCATCTATTTCACGATTCATCCTCAGTTACAGTACATTCAGTTTCTCTATTTCTTTCACTCCTCCTCCCTCCTCCTCCTTTGTCTTTGCACATCCTCTCATCTATTCTTCTTTCTCTCAGGTCTCTTTTCTCCCTCTTTCTTTAATTTGTTCTCTTTCATCCTTTCTTTTATTCCCTCTGTGATGTGTCGCCCTCCACGTTTCCGTTTCGCACGTCGTAATCATCCCGTGTTTCTCTCCCCCTATCGACCCGCATGGCGAGCTGCAGCTCATTCAAGTAGAATACCCGTGACTCACACACAGTCGTCTGAGCCGCTGAATGATCTCTCATCCCTTCATCTTTCTCTCGTGTTCAGATATACGTGGGTGACGGGTCGAGAGCCGCTGACGTACTACGACATGAACCTGTCGGCACAAGACCACCAGACCTTCTTCACCTGCGACTCGGACCACCTCCGGCCCGCTGACGCCAGTGAGCAAACACGAGCATCATACAGTACCCTGATGTGTGTTCTCACACACACACACACACACACACACACACACACACACACAGACACCGTCTGACATCTTCACTGTGTTTGTTTGGTGGCAGTTATGCAGAAGGCGTGGAGAGAGAGGAACCCACAGGCTCGCATCTCCGCAGCACACGAAGCTCTGGAGCTGGAGGAGTGAGTTCACTTCTTCTTCTGTCGTCCTCTCTTTGTCTCGGGTCCAGCTGCTCGATGCTTCACGGCTCCGTCCTCTGAGACGAGCTGTTAGGAGCTGGATGTCATCTAGAACAGTGCCTTTTGGGTGAAAACGTGTTATTTTCTGGGTTATTGCTGCTGTACTATGAGGCCCTGCAGTGTTTGATGCAATGCATCATCGACACATCCCAGACTGGGAACATAATAAAAACCACAAATCTTTTGTTGTTTTTCCTCCATAAAGGTTTAAAAGTCAGAAAATGGATCAATAGAGAAGTTTAAGGGGAAAATAATATGAACATATAATTATATAAAAGGGACACCAAAGGGTTAAATCATGCTGCTGAGAGCAGTGATGAATATTCATCATGATGACACACACAGTAAAACACATAATGACACAGAGTTCAACAGATCCACGAGTCACTGACCAGCGCGGAGCATTGAACTTAAACGTTAACGTTCTTTAATCCCGTTATAATTAAACCAGCTCATCTTTTAGGTCACAAGCCGATCAAACTGGTGTCTCTGTACACGTCAGACATGGAGGGATGGTCTAACACTCCAAGACTCTCTGATCGTCTGTTAAGGACACAATGAAACCACATCAAGCTCCTTATCAGGATGTTGGTCTTCTGACTGTGACCCTTAAAATATTCACAAGCAGTTTAATCCAAAAGTGAGCTTCTCGCCTCAGAGAAAAGTGTTCGACAAGAAGAGAAAAGAAAGAGAAAACTGAAGAAAGTAATTGTTAATTTAACACAAACTAAATCCTTGAATCCAACATGATAATAGACGCTGTTTCTTTTAGTCTATATATGTGGTGTGAATGGAAGGACTGGTGGGAGGAGTGAAGCAGCTCATCACAGATTGGCCCTCTGGGTACCGCCATCATTCGTTAAGAAGATAACTGGTTTATTTTTAGGAGCATCTTTGGCTACAAAGGCAGCTCAGAGGAGGCGCGTCGGTGTCGTACGTCGCTCACGGCTCATATCGAGTGAAGAATAAAAGGCCTTTGATCAGATCTCTGTGACAAACCCGACTCCGTGAGGACACCAGAGTAAGCTAGTGTGTAATTTCCTTGCTTAACAGATCCTCGAAACCTCTCCTCTCCTCCTGCAGCTGTGCGACGGCGTACATCCTGCTGGCGGAGGAAGAAGCCACGACCATCATGGAGGCAGAGCGTTTGTTTAAACAGGCGCTGAAAGCCGGAGACGGCTGCTACCGCCGCAGCCAACAGCTCCAGCATCACGGCACACAGTACGAAGCCCAGCACAGTGAGTACAAACCGGTCCAACACGCTCTCAGCTCTCTCACTTAAAGTGA